TCGTTGAATTGTTAGTGCTTGAAAAATTCTTTTTCGGTTCTAAGCTGAGAACCGAGAACCGCGGTTCTGTTCTAAGTCGAGAACCGGAACCGCGGTTCTTTTCGGTTCGGTTCTAACTCGAGAACCGAGAACCGAACATCCCTATTCATGGTATTAATCTATCAAGGACATATAAGGGAGTTTATCTCAACGTTTTATGTAAAAACAGTTTGTCCTTGACTTTATCAGTTTTGACGTTTATCATATATATTAAAATATCTACTATATGTGTACAGGTTAGAAAAAATCACTCTTGTTTAATCATATCCGCGCATTTTTCACCTATCATCATACAAGTTATACACAAATTTACTGATATCATATCAGGAAATATTGACGCATCAGCTACTCTCAAATTTTTAACGCCTTTCACTTTTAGCTGGGAGTCAACTACGGCAAATTCATCTTTCTCCGTATCGCCCATTTTACACGTGCCAGCTGGATGATACAGCGTATTCATTACTTGTCGACAGTAATGCGATATTTCTTCATCCGTTTGAACGTGTTCACCAGGTGCTATTTCACATTTTCTCCATTTTTCGAATGGAGATTGTTGCACAATTTGTCGGGCTAACTTAAACGCAGCAACCATTACTCTTTCATCGTGCTTCTGTTTATCGGTAAAATATTGAAAATCAATTTTTAGTGGGTCGCGATAGTTATTTGAACGTAATCGAACATGCCCGACACTTTTTGCCTGAGTCACGCTAATCGTACAACAAAATGCTTGCTCTGATGTTGGATAGCCGTAGCTTTTTGTGTGAGTATCGTACGCTTCTAATCCAAAATGAAACATTGCATCGGGGTAGTCGGAATATGACTGAGTTTTTGTGAATAGAACCGTTTCATACCGCTGAAGTACGGGCTCTGGTATTGAACAATTCGACTCCCAAATGAGAACACTCTCAGGATGATCAAGCAGATTCTCGCCAACGCCTGGCAAATTGACAATACAGGGAATGTTCAGTTCCTTCAGTTGTTCTTCGCGGCCAACACCTGATAGCATGAGTAATTTAGGACTATCAAATACTCCACCAGATAGCACACATTCTTTATTAACTTTAATTTGTTCTCCACCACTTGTGAGAACAGTGGTGACAGTTTTACTCTGCTCATCTATTATCAGCTTGGTGACTGTTGTATTCGTTAGCACTGTCAAATTCGATGGCAACGAGGAGAGAGGGTGTAAATAGGCACGAGCACTTGAGTAACGCGAAAAACCTTTTGCATTCAATTGAATGTACCCGCAGCAATCAGAAAACTTACTAACAAATGTGTCCGAATTCATTGCAAGCTCAGGTATGTTCACTAGTTTACAACTATGAATGAAAGCAGCATTTAGTGGATTTAAAGGTGCTATAGTTTCCAGATTCACTTTTTCGAAAACGCGATCATAATATTTTCGTGTCGATTTTGCGTTCCATCCATGTGCACCTTGACGTTCCCATCGGTCGAAATCAACATCAGGAGCTATGAAAGCGATGCCGGCATTATGTGAACTACAACCACCGAGAATTTTTGCGCGACTATGTCGAATTTTACTATTTCCAAACAGCTGTTCTTCAATTCCGTAATCATAATCGAAATCAGTACCGAGTAAGTCAGCCCATTTTCGGATGTCCAATACAGTTTCATTACCTACTCAAATCAAAAAAACGCAACAACCTAATTAGTAGTGGTTAGCTTAAAGCGAACTTATACCTTCGTCAGATGGCCCGCCTTCAATAATGCAAACGCTTACATTCGGGTTTTCGGCTAATCGACGACCTATAATACATCCCGCAGTTCCTCCACCACAAACAACATAGTCGAAAGACGTCGACTAAAGTTTAAAATAAAAGTAAAAATAAACTACAGTCTTCTTCCATATCGAAGTAAAAAGTTTTGAGTTACAAGCTAACGACTTCGAAACGATCGCAATGAAGCAGAACACAGACTGCTATCCATTACACAACAGAATGGATCCCACTATATTTTGAATAATGTTTCATAGAAATGAGACAGAGACCTCCAGTTTTCGTCAATTGAAAGAAGAGGCGTGCGAACATCTTTTCGAGAAGAAAAAACATTTCAAAAAACTTCTGTAAATCAGGTTTCCCAGTAGGCTTTGGAAAACCATGCCATGGCTCAAAAACTTCAGGTACAAAAATCTTCGTCTTTTTGCATAGTCCAGAGTATCTTCTCTGAAATACGAGCCCTTGATTTTCTATGGCATAGGCATCGGATTTCCTGGAAGGTCTAAGGCTAGCGCATGTGTTTTTTACACTTTTTCACCAAAACCAACAAATTTAGATTTAGTTCTGGTCCAAATCACTTAAAAATGTCAGCAGAAACACAGTCTCGTATGCCGGAAATAATTCTAGAACTTCGAAAGTGAAATGCATAAGGATTTAATTACGAACTCTTTCGGAAAACCATGCCAAATACAGCACAGGCACAAGGGGATTTTGGACAATTTTCTGAAATTGTTTTCTGCATACAAGACTGTGTCTATACTGACATTTAATAAGTAATTTGGACCGGAGTGAAAAATGAACTGTTTGGTGTTTGGTGAAAACTATGTTTCTAGTAGTTGATGTTACCACTAGGTTTTTAAATATTTCTGCGGAAGCAAACATTGCCACAAGGTTCAGCATTGTTGATTACCTACAATCCACCTCTTCTGAGGTTTCCAGCAAGCCCCAGGCGCCATTCTTAGAGCTTCTGTCTCATTTCTATCAAAGGTTATTCAAAAAACACTAACTATTCTTATTTTCTCTCTTATCATTAGGCGAGGATGAGGATAGAAAAAGACCCTTCTTTTCATCTGTGCAGTTTCTTGATCAGCTGTCAAAAAAATACATATGGTCATGTCTAATCATCAGTAATGCATCTCTTTTGTATTACCTTCATATAATTGGATAATGTCGATAAACTACGTACAATCGTTGTTTGATATCGAAATAACAGACTATTCATTCGACGAGAAAAGATGTTACTACACAATTCTACGTAAGAAATATCATTGCTGAAAAATATATAAAATAGCTATTAAACTTGTCCCAGAAAATAAGAGGATACAGATATAACTTCTATAGTACGGAATAAAGAAGGAAATTTCGATGAAATAATATCATAGAGTTTGTTGACACAAAGAAAATGATTCAGGTACATATTTGTTTTATTCTCAAAATTTTATCTTTACAAATGCAGCAATGCATAGTGGATACAAATGATATTATCGAAGTATACTTTAAGTGTTGTTTGCATGCATATATGCATAGGTTTTATTTGCTTTTTGATAATTCTCCTTGTTCTTCTTCGAAAACATATTTCATAATAACAGAACAGAAAAATGAGTTATATTCAAATATGTATTGTAATCTTCTTCTCTGTTTTTTGTCAACAAATGTTATGATATAATATTTCATCGAAATAAACTTCATTTCGTGTGCTCCATCGCGAAAAACATTGACGAAAAGAAACACAATATTCCGATTCGACTTTTCATGCTGAATCTAATGAAAAAAAGCATTTTCAGTTTAGATCAACTGGGAAAGAAAAACTTGAAATTTTTCGGGAAAAGGGCAATTTATGCGTCGAATGGTGCATGACTTGTCAAGAAAAAAATTTTAACTCGATCTTTGAATTGTGGGCACCTTACTTAGTTACTCATACTACGCCATGCAGTATTAAACTATATTACAAAGTAGTACGCGATCTCAGCCTTAATCCACGTGAAAAACTGAACTCAGCATTGCCTTATACAGAAGTCCACTTCGTCAAGATGTTCCATCAAAATGCGACATATTTACTTATTGTCTAAGTGTATAAATTGCCTGGCAACAACATGAGATAGTTGGCAAAAAAGCAAATCGTGACTTTATGCATAATAAAACCGATATGATGAAAGAAAGTCAACTTATAGTGATAAGTTCAAGTGATCTGTTTCCACTACCATGACTTCTCGGGTGTCGCTTAACCTTCCTTTACAAAGTAATAGAATTTACAAGAAAAGCCCTAAATTAATTTCTTCTTATTTCTGCAGCTTTGAGCTGACAATGAACGTTTCGAGCTTTTCTTGTAAATTCTATTACTTTGTAAAGGAAGATCTTGTAGAGATGGGGGATGTCTCATTTTAATCAGTAATGTACGGACTACAATTATACCTCATTACGAAGGGTTGTGGTTATTTTTTCGAGTTTCTGAAAAACTGGTTTTACAGAAAGCCAGTCTCTGAAGGCCTATTAGCCTGTCTCATGTTGATATTCGAAATCAGTATCGTCGAATGCAAACCACCGATTTTTCTCAATCAGCTGTCCTATTGAACCACATATGAAAGACGAAAAAAATTTTCTCCATGAAGTTCGACTTGCGTGGATCTTATAGACCAGTAAAAGATACACAAGAACATTATTACACTAGCACTTTTGCCACTGTGGATACTCACTTTTCATGATCCAGTCTCCCTAAGTAATAATTCCGACATCACAATCGGCACAAAACAATAAATTCAACTGAAAGAAAAGATGAAAAAAACCTTTTCCTTTTCTTTTCGTACTTTTCTCATTTCACGTTTGTATGTCGTTCTTTTTTCCTTCTTATTCTCTATTCGCATAAAGTAATGATTCACAAGGCGGTTGAGTTACCACCATTTTTGCACATTACAGTTGTTTTTCTTTCATATTTCTAGTTGTGCCAGATTTATTTATAGACTATTTACAATATTAAAAATAAGATGAAATACATACGTCATATATACATGAAATACAAATAAGATAAATACATTTCATCTTAGTTTTAATATTGTAAATAGTATATGCAAATAGAGAATAAGAAGGAAAAAAGAACGACATACAAACGTGAAATGAGAAAAGTATGAAAAGAAAAGGAAAATGCCTTTTTGATCTTTTCTTTCAGTTGAATTTATTGTTTTGTGCCGATTGTGATGTCGGAATTATTTTTTAGGGAGAGTGGATCATGAAAAGTGGGAAAAAACGTGACAAAAGATTTTTTCAGATAAGTTACTAGAAATATTTTTTGATATTGCAACGTTCTCCTTATATAAAAATATAAGACTCTTGTTGTATCGCTAATACATATATAAGGTTTAAAAGTCTGATGCGATATCATTACTTATTCAATAATGTTCACAAATCATCCTTTGATTTAAACCATCCATATAGTAATGGGCAAAAGATCAATTTTAGAACATGTTTTTCTGACACTTTATACGAGGAGAGAGGGTGTAAATAGGCACGAGCACTTGAGTAACGCGAAAAACCTTTTGCATTCAATTGAATGTACCCGCAGCAATCAGAAAACTTACTAACAAATGTATCCGAATTCATTGCAAGCTCAGGTATGATTTACTTTCCGATTCATTTTGAGCTTTTCTTGTAAATTCTATTACTTTGTAAAGGAAGGTCGTGTTACACGACATCTCCCAGTTCTACACGACTCGTGTAAAGCTGGGGGATGTCTCATTTTAATCAGTAATGCGCGGGCTACAATTATGCCTCATTAAGAAAGGTTTTGATTATTTTTTCGAGTTTCAGAAAAACTGATTTTGCTGAAAGCCAGTCTCTGGAGGCCTATTAGCCCGTCTCATGTCGATATTCGAAATCAGCATGGTCGACTACCTATGGTCCAGTAGGTTTCGACTCGAAAGTGATTTACAAGCTGGGGATCTTCCCTCGTTAGTTAAGCGGACAGAGCGCTGAATTTGCTGTCCACATCCTCTGAATTTACTACCGGTTCTCTGTTCATACTGACTTTTCCTTTTCAGGTAAAAACTATAGCATGACTGCGCAAATGTTATGTATTAAGGGCCCCCCTAAATTCCTGCGGATTTCCTTCATCCTTCTCACAATCAGAATTCGTAGAAATCCATCTGTAGGCAGACATCTCTGGATTTCTTCTTTTTTTGGAAAGTTTTTTATAAAAAGTTGGTATTGATCTAAACACATCATCAGATAGCCCACAGTATGTATCTACTATCAAGATACAATGTTATCTGGTTCGAATACATTTTTCTTTCCAAAAACAAAATGCAAAAATAGTTTCAATAATACTGAGAAATAGAGTAAACATTTTTGATCAAAATGAGATATCTACCAGCTCTGAATCATGTTCTAATCAAGAGTTATGAGAGTTTTGCTGGGAGCCGTAAAACATACATCAGATACTGGCGCCACCATGTCTCGAAAGCGACTTTCACTTTAACACCATTTTGTAGCTGCAAGATTTCTCGGTAACGACGCATCGCAGAGAGCTCGGGAAGGTCTTAAGCTGAAGCTGACACATGTGGCTAGAGGTTAATAGAGTCCGATTTTGGATATTCGAGCTAGATTTGTGGTTACAAAAATATCTTTATGCAAGTTAATGAGGCTCTTTTCATTTTTTGTATTAAAGTCCAAAACTTTTGACGCTGACCATTATTTGAACAGGAAAATATCAAAAATCCGACTCTATCAGCCTCTAGTCACATGTGTTTTCGTTAAGTTAAGACCGGCCCGAGTTCTCCACAACGTTTCGTTACTAAGAAATCTTGCACGCTTAAGGTGCTATTGTGTATAATAAGATGACTCAAAGAGAAAATACCCATTAAAAGTATGAAAAAAGTTTTTTAAGGCATGCTTTTTCTGCGAAGTATCTCACACTTTCATGACGCTCAAAAGAGAATTCACAGACTCTTTTCTCGTTAAAGTGGAATTATTGTGAGACAAGAAAATATGCAGTTTCAGTGACATAGTTTAACAAGACCTTACCTGAGAGTTACCAATGACTATCACGATCGACCCACGAGACACCAAATACTAGCAGAGTCTGGAAGAAAAATAACCTTAAAATTATTCATATTTTAGCAGTCACTTATATAAATGAATGAGAGCAAACAATAGGGTGAATAATAGTAGAGTCATTAAATTATATTAAGACCTTAAACAATAAGACCTGGAATATTTTATCAAAATCTTCACCGAAGCATGTTTTCATATTTTGAGAACATCGTTTAAAAATTAATACCCATTTTTAATAATCAACGATATTCACGGCCATATATCATTAAAACTAAAAGGGATCGTTTTCTAAAAATAGATCAGGACCAACTCGTGTACTTTAAACTAATATATAACGATGAAAATAGGTCATCTCTAATTAGTGTAGATTTAGGTCGCGACGTTGGTACGAAATAAGTTTACAGCGCGTACTCTTCTTCATGAACATATAAAAGATGAATATTTGATGAAAACATAAATTTGTTACTTTCTGATTTTATTCTTTAAACAGAAAAACGTCTGCTCTTATAAAAATATCTGTTAAAAAAACAAACATATTCGAAGTATATATATGTCAATGTATGTATCCACAATAAAATCAAAGGAACCGAAATTATGCAAAATAAAATAAATTAGAATTGAAATTTTGACATGCTCCCTAATCAATATAAAGAGTTACTGAATAAAAAATGCAGTCGAATAAGGACAAAATTTAATAAAAGTATTACTAGAAGAACATTAAAATATTCAAAGATGCCATAAATAAAGAATGTTGTCGATTGCATACTAGATTATTAAATTGAAATTCT